TTTAATATTGGATTCGAACGGTAAAAGGGTTTGTAATACATACCAGCTGACAAATGGATTTCGTGTACAAGTAAAGGTAAGACCATAAACTTTTATTATTTCTAGTTAGAAATAAGCTCAACTGGAATAAATTTTAACCTCAAATTAAATATGGGTCACGTTTGTGTGAAGAATGCTGATATGAGATATAAAACATAACGCATTGTCTGTTAACAGACAATTTAACGGTTCATTTGTATTTGTAAATCTGACTGTAATGGAGTCAGTGCCTCACCAGCTGTCAACCTCACCGCACGTCACTGCTTATAATGTGTTTCAAAGGCCTGTGGAGTCAGTGTAAAATAAGATGTATATCTATGTATATTTCTGCCACATCACTCTGAGCTCTTTGTTTCTCTCTCTCTCTCTCTCTCTCTCTCTCTCTCTCTGTCTGCAGATTACCTAGCAAAGCACGGCCGTCTCAGTGAGATGGAGGCCAGGAGGAAGTTCTGGCAAATCTTGTCAGCAGTGGAGTATTGTCACAACCGCAACATCGTCCACAGGGACCTGAAGGCGGAGAATTTGCTCCTGGATGGCCACATGAACATCAAGATTGCAGGTATACATACTGTATGCTCACTGATTAATGTCTGCATGAATTTATTTAGTTTTGCCCCACTGCCTCGCAGGCAGTGGGGCAAAACTGACGCGGGTTCAGAAATGTCCTAACTACCTGCCCGGGCCATTTGCACAGATTTGAGAAATGGTCAGAGGTTGCCTGTGAATTAGCTGTTGGCTTAAAGATGCCACAACAGCATCTCAGCACGAATCTGAAGGTGATTGGAGAAAATCAAAAACCCCTCTTCAGTGACCCATAGCTTTAATTTTCAGGTGGAAAGATTAACAGTGAAGGTCTAGAAGAGGAACGGACTCAGGCAGCAATTTGAGACTAAGCTGGAGGTCTGTAGTACAAGCTTCAAAGTGTGAATATTAAGCAACTGGCATTTAGCGCTAGCTAGTGAGAATGTCTCCCTACCGCTGTGTCCCAGAGTGGGGGAGAGGGAGGCTGGGAGGGAAGAGTTCAGTTGGGGGATGAGGAATAGACTACAGAATGGATTGGCAACTTTAACAACAGAGTTTCAAATGGGAGGATGAATGGCGAGTGATAAGTGACAGCTGAGCCGAGGTTGCTGAAATCCATCAAAGGTGCAAGCTGATTTAAGGATAGCGAAAAATACAGGTGTCAGTGTGAGGGCCTTCTCCAGGGAAAATCACTTGTTCTCAAACTGTGGATGTTGATTCTTGACTTCTGGAATAAAAACTATTTCAATAATTAATCTAAACACAGATTCATTCGGCGATGGTGAGTGTCCAGTGCTAAGTGGACTTCTGTATTTAGATTAATTATTGAAATAATTATTTCATTGGCTTGATAAATGTTACTTAATCGAGGGGAAAACGACAGATGAGCACCCCTGTTAACCTTCCTGTAAGTCATTTCCAGTGTTCAGTGGCTTTTATTTGTTCTAAAAGGAAAAATCAGTTAAGGACAAATGAGACAGAGCTATACAATGACTGATGGAGAAACGAGAATTTCACCAGCATCATTACTCACATCATCTTGTCCACAGTTTCTCAGAAGTCTCCGAGATGATAACCTGGAGATGTTATTACCCCAGCAGTAATTTTCACAAACACGTCTGACTCCCAGCCCAATGTTCACACGATAGATTAGATTTGAAGCAGGAAAACAATGAACAGAACATTACCTGGCTTGTGATTAGAGTAAACGTCTCTGGAGAGGACATCAGCAGCAAGGTACAGTACGTTCTGTATTTCTCTTACCCACAATGTTCTATGACAGTTTTGGGACATGCTACATGAAGTGTAGACAAGAAAACATGTCAGATTTGTACTGAGAAGTTCAGGTCTCGCTACAAATGTCACTACTGCATTAGTAGTACTGGTGTATGTTACTGTGTGTTTGTGTGCCAGCTTGCACTGCGAACGAGTCCTCTTACTTAGAATTCCTCATCGAAATGTTCTCCCCGTGCATTTTTGTGAGTTTCCTAGACCTGTTCAGGTGGATGCACGTTGCAGAAACAGTCGGTAAACAGCTGTACATTGCACTTTAATGGGGAGAGGTAAACAAACCAGACTTGTATAACATTATGCAAAACCAGCCACATCATTGCAATAGTGTTTTCTCTTGTTAAAGTAGACCAGTGTTTGAAAACACTTCTAATAAAGTCCTAGTGGGTTTTGTTGTTTCTCCTCGTTCTGCAATTTGCTAAATAGATATGACCTTAATGTACATCCATGCATCGGACAGTGTCACCATTGAAGTGACAAACCTCGGCTTCCCCGACCACAGGGCGAAGCACCAAGCAAATTGCAGCTTGGCACACCAAAATGAGGAGGAGACGATAAACCACAGGAGCTGGGGCTGCCTTGTATTGTAATGCACACTGGCTGACAAAAAATAAAATATAAGTAAAAACAAAGGCTCGACTAGGAAAGTCTCAGTCGACTGACAGGTCTCGTGACTAATGACTCGACTGTCCAACATTTAGTGGCAGCCCTTAATTTAACAATGATATAAAACATGTAAAAGCAATTTGTGAAGCTGGAACCAGTGGTACTTTGGCATTTTGCCCGTTCAGGGACTAAGCGGTAGAAAGTGAACGAATGAATGAATGACTTAAAGAGTGATTTTAAAAATGTATAGTTAATTTTAAAATTGTCATTTTGTTTTCTGTGTCTTGGCTCTTTATCGGGTATTTGTTTAACACTACTCTGAATATGCATGTCCAGGGAGATTTCCTGCTGTATGCTTCTGGGTATTTCCTGCAGGCCAGTGATGCTTCCCTGTTTTCTAAAGGCCACCTCTGGTCAGTCTGCATGAGGCATAATCAGGCAGCGGTCCGTTAAAGAAAGGTCATGCTCATGTTGGCTGCAGAGGACGGGAAGAGGAGCAGCGGGGGGGTGACCTTCATGTTGCCACTTCAAACAGTCCTTTTACGTTTGAGTTGACAGGTTGAAGGGGATGGAAAGAGGAGAAATCATAAAAACAAAAGCTAGTTACTGGATCAGAGGATGTGTGGCAGTTCCTTTTGTGGCTTAGCAAGAAAATATATATAGAGTGTGTTTAAGGCAGCATTTTACTTTTATACCTCCCCCCACCCAAAAAAAGTCTAGAATAATCACTTTTAATCCTGTATGTTATACTTAGTGCAATTGTATCACCAAAACCATCCACCGACTGATGTCAATGGGGATGTACAGAACTCTAAAGGTGTTTCATGTTCAATTAAATGATGTAACAGGTACAAACAACATCCAGATCTAGTACACCTGTTGGCGGTACAGTTTGTACTTTCGCCTGTGGACACATTGGATTCTCTATTAATAGAAACAAAAGGAAACTTCTAGGGTTGGGCAATATGATGATATCCAGCATACAGTGAAACAACAGTCTGCTGGTGTGTCTCTTTCCTATGTCTTTATTGTCTTAGATTGTGTTAGGTTATTGTGGCCTGTGTTGCAAAGGCTTTTTCACTTTATTTATTTACAGGTTTTTTGCAACAGTGTGGTGAGAGACCTTGTTATGTTCAGTTTATTGCGTTACCCTTAAATATTCCCATTGAACCTCAAAGTTCAGTCTTGACCTTGGAACCAGCAGTACACCTCAAGGCCCATTTAGTAGTTGTCAGCTGACAGCTGCTAGCTAGCGTTGGCTCATGAACTGAGAGCTGAGATCAGGGTGCAGAGTCATTTTTCAGTCTGTTGCTCTTGTAGACAGATCTCTATGTCTGTTACAAGTTAGTCAAGTAAGGTTATCCATCCTGAATTACCACAGTCAGTAAAGTGAGATCTAAACAATTTAAGCAACTTTTTAGCCAAACAAAACAAGAATGTTTGCGGGTAAATACAGCAAGTATCTCCCAAAAATAGACAGAGAGATAGATCCTCTATTGATCCTGAGGGAAATTCAGGAAAACACCATAAAAGAGCAAAACCCTTCTGCATTATGACCCTTTTACAATTAACAAGAAAACATCTTTAACTTTAGTATGACATATTCAGACTGACAAGCGCACACACACACACACACACACACACACCATCTCACATTACATAGAGCTGCATTGAATTTTATAATTGTATAGTCTATAAAATGCTAGAAAATGGCAAAAACAGTTTCTTGAAGCACAAGGTGCCATTTTTAAATTGGTTGTGAAATGGGAATCAGCATTCACACAATGAATTCATGTCTTTAGCTGTTACTCTAGGGGTCTTCTTTACCACACTGAGGTTTCTGGGTTGTGTCTTTGGAGTGAGCTTGGCTGGACGCCCACTTCTATGGAGAGTAGCCACAGCACCAAATCGTCTCCATTTATAGACAGTATGTCTAACTGTGGACTGATGAATATCTGAGGTCTTTGAGACGACTCTCTTTCCAGCTACATGCAAATAAACAACTCTTGATTGTAGGTCTTCTGAGATCTTTCTTGCGAGGCATGACTCACATCAGCTGATGATGCTTGTGAACTGTTGCCTTCTTCCATCATCACTTTCTATGTTTAATGTTTAATAAAGACATGAAAGATCATGACTGTATTTTATCAGTGTAGAAATACTGTGTGTGTTGATATTTCTGACGGTGAAGCTCAGATCACATTTCATGACCAATTCATGGAGCAAAACAGCGCCTTTACTCTTTCTTGCAACTGTAGGAATCAGGTTTGAGAGATTAGCACAATGCAAACTCCAACTGACAGGTCTGACACTGTGTATGTGAGTGTATGGGTCTAATCTAATTACGGCAGTGCAGGTGGTGGCAGGTGTGGCTGAAACAAAGTTGAGGGGAAACGCAGAAGTGTGGTTTATTTACAGCTATGTTTACCGTTTGATGCTGCTGCGAGGGTGAGATGTGAGATGCAGGCAGAGCAGACCACAGCGGTGCAGCTGGTTTATCGTCAGAAGCAGTGACCCATTTCATGGAGCTGAATACTGAGCAGACTGGTTGACGTCAAACACTCCAGCACGCTGCAGGCTACTAATGGCACTTACAGCTCAACAGGAAGGGCAGGGTGGGGGGACGTGTGTCGCAGACAACCACATTGGCATAAAATTAGCCCAAACATGTCACACTGAAAAACACTCCAGCTAGTGGCTTATAAAAACTGTGAGTGTATGTGGAAATGGCAAGTGAATGAGCGATATTGTGGGGACAGCATCCAGAAGTCGAAAACGTGTTGATTCCATTAACAAGACCTGAGCGTCAGTGCAGTCATGGCTGCAGCTGAGGAGAACTCCTCCTTTCTCTTCTTGCATCTTCTCATCTCTTCTGGAACCTTTTCTATTTCCTTGTCTTTCTTTTTGCATGCTTCAGGTTTCAAACCCTCAGCCTCTTCTGCTCTTCCAAAAAAGGGACGCTTTCTTGTTTAAAGCGAGACGATATAACTTTTGAAAAACAGTCCCAAACTCTGTCTCTTACAATGAGAAGTTCAGTTGCTCACAGCGGCCATGATTAGGAAACTTCAGATGGATATTCCTGTAGACCGGATGTTACTGAGTCATTTTGCTGACTTAATCACACTTCTCTACTTCATGCATGAAGTTTACTCACGTGTCCACAGTGGCCATTGTTCGGTACAACTTACATAGTCTTGCCATAACCTAGTACAGTCATTTTTATTTTTGAACACTTCACTGCAGTATTAAATCTAGTCAATATTTGCTTATAATAGTTTCTCAAACTGGGATATATATATTGAGGTTAGATGTTAGGTAAGTAGGTTAGGACAAATTTTTTAAATCAGTTAATCGTTTAGGTGATAAATATTCAGAGATAACAACCAGTGCCACAAGTTGAAGAGATTCTACAGTGATAAAACTCTCACGTCTCTGAGAAGCTACAACCAGCAAATTTAAAAAAATTTTTAATGCTGATTAATGATAAAAGAATTATTAAAAAGTTATCAAAACTGTCACTGATTAATTTCCTGTTGACGCACTAATGGATTAATTATTTCAGCAGCAGAACTAAGCACTAGTGGCAAGTCTTAAGTAAAAACCAAACAAGAAGAGGAGACTAACGATCATTTGCTGGAGAAGGGAAGGGGAATGATACACCCAAGTTGGCTCACAGAGGTTTGGCAGGTTATTACTGCAGCGTTAGTTGAGTTTTGATGAAAGGCAGACATCAACATCTCAGCTCATTTGTTTATTTGTGACTTTACTGTCTCACTCCTCTGAAATCTGAGTTTGAGTCACTCTACCATCAGCCAGTCAGAGCACAGCAGTGATGAGCTCATGTCAGGCTCCAGGGGAGGTTATCTCATACAATTTTCTCATTGTTCAAATATGTGGCTCACACATTGCATAATGTAAAACCTGCATCTTTGATCTGGATATTTTCCTCGTACAGTTTGACCTCAACTACATGTTCAGCATGTACCTAACGGGTTCCCTTCTTACAGTCGTACTTACAGTTAGAGCTTGGCTTTTTGCTGAAACTGCTGTACAACAGAATGTGGTCAGTTATCAGACCTGGGAGGAGCTTTTATAGTTTCAACAAACCTTAATCTTGTTTGTTTGTTGTGTGGAATTACCTTTACCGTTCCTCTGAACTCACTCATCGCCCCCTGCTGTTTTTGTCCTGTGTAGATTTTGGATTCGGGAACTTCTTCCAGCCCGGGGAGCCTCTGGCCACGTGGTGCGGCAGCCCGCCCTACGCTGCTCCAGAGGTCTTTGAGGGACAACAGTATGAAGGGCCACAGCTGGACATCTGGGTAAGACGACAGTACCCCATCATACAGTATTTAATAGTTTTATTAAAGCTACAACAGATACACACTGTACATTAAATTTACATGTGAAACCCTGTCTGTCGCTTCCTTTGAGATCATTTTTGTGCAACATTTACTTTACTTTCAGCTGATACAATTCACTTATTATTTAATGTGTATCAAAGGTCTGGGGGTTTTCCTTGTTATTTTGTACATTGCAGAGTAATATTGAAAAAGTCAAAACTATGAAATAACATATGGAATTATGTAGTAAACAAAGCAAAATAGGCTTTAGATTTGAGATTCTTGTAAGTATCCACCTTTTGCTTTGGTAACAACTCTTGTCATTCACTCAACCAGCTTCATGTGGTGGTTCCCTGGAGCGCTTTTCCAACAGTGCCGAAGGAGTTTCCACATGGGCCGAGCACCTGTTAGCTGCTTTTCCTTGTCTCTGTGGTCCAACTGATCCTAGATGATCTCAGCTGGGTTTTGGTCAGGTGACTGTGGAGACCAGGTCACCTGATGCAGCACTCCTTCACTCTCTTTATTGGTCAGATAGCACTTGGATAGCCTGGAGGTGTGTTTTGGGTCATTGTCTGGTAGAGCAAATGATGGTCCCACTAAGCACAATCCAGATCAGATGGCATGATACTAAAGGATGCTGTTAAGTGTGCCAGAAATCTTAAATCTGGACTCGTCAGACCAAAGTACAGGTTCTCTTCACCTTGGCCCATGCCACTTTCTTCTTGTCGTTGTTCTCCCTCAGTAGTTTCAATGTCTTCTTCTACAGGGTAGAAAATAATAGAAACAAAGGAAAGCGACTGAAATGAGAGGGCATGTGCAAACATGTGACTGGTTCAGTATATTTAATATAAGTCAGCAGATTTTGTTGCCGTCATATGGTGCTGAGGTGGTTGGAGTGGGACTTCCCAACCACAGTATATTGCCCACTGTAGATTCATTTATTTACCATGTTTTTGTTTGTGTGAAACACTGTGCATTTATGTTATGTAAGTTTGCAAATGCAAAGAATAATCTTACCCTTTTTTAGATCTGGACATCTCTGATCGATCTTCTGATTGTTCCTAGCTCCATCCCTGACCGTGCTCTCCGTGTGTGCATCTTTTCATGTTTCCAGAGCATGGGGGTGGTGCTCTATGTCCTGGTGTGTGGTGCATTGCCCTTCGATGGGCCCACTCTGCCTGTGCTCCGACAGAGAGTCCTTGAAGGAAGGTTTCGTATCCCCTACTTCATGACCGAAGGTAAGAAGAGACGAGCTCATTCTCTATGGGATTTTGGACACAAAATGGGGTGGCTGTGGCTCACGAGGTAGGGCAAGTCGTCTTCTGACCAGCAAGTTGGTGGTTCGACTCCCGGTCTCCCCACATGCCTAAGTGTCCCTGAGCAAGACACTGAACCCCAAATTGCTCCCGGTGGCTTGACTAGCGCCGTAGTGTGGCAGCCTTGTCGTCATCGGTGTGTGAATGTGTGTGTGAATGGGTGAATGGTGTATAATCTCCCTGTAAAGCGCTTTGGCCAGTGCATAAAAGCGCTATATAAATACAGTCCATTTACCATTTACAAACTGCAATAGGAGGCCGTCAGCTACATTCCTGTAAATTTACACGTGTATCCGAACTGAGGCCGAAATGAAAAATTCCTGTGAGGAACGCTGTCCCTGAATAGGACACGCTTTTGTATTTGAGTCTCCATACTGTTGAATGTTCACTGTCCAACTCTCTTGTGGCTGCGACCAGTCTGGGTCATTTTATTAACAAAGAGCGTTACGCTCATTTGAAGGAAATACAGCAGGAGGCACTCTGTCATTGTTTTGTTTATTTGCATGCATACAGGCCGCAGAGTGTGTCAGGCTGGCTAACCGCCTCAAAGCAGCACTGTTGTTATCGGCTGTGCTAGCTAGCTGGCAGCAGATTAAGTTCAGAGCTGAAGCTGTTTGTGTAACCTGGTGAAGAGCCAGTGAAGTCTTCCAGCAGCCTGCCTGTCTGTCTTTTTGAGGAAGGACTGTCTGTGCGTCTGTTTGACTCATACTCACTATCTGCAAGGCATCTCCCTGTGTGCCCGTGGCCCCGTCTGTTTCTCTTGTTTCTCTGTATCCTATCTGCAAGTCTGTAGCACTTTCTCCACAGGGGGCGTGGTGAGAGAGTGGACCGGATTTTTTTTTTTTTTTTTTTTTTTTCCCTTTTTTTGGTCCTTTAAACAATTAAGACATTCAGGACCTTGAAACAATTAAGACATAAGGGGAATGTAGGAGTGTAATGTCAGCTTCATGGCCAAACTGACACTTAATCCCGCCTCCCCACTCCCAGTCCAGCCCCCGTTCCCTGAACAAGGGGAACAGAGTGTGCCGATTGCTTCATCCAGAAACAGCCCATCTCATCTCCTTTCTCTGGCCAGCGCCGTGGTGCACAGCACGGCCTAGCACCACACAGTAAACTCTCACTAGGACATCTCAGCACTCTGAGCATTGCAGCGTACTACCAGCTCACTGACTTAGTAACTAGAGTTGTCTTATGTCTCCCCTGCTGCTGCTTATTGCACAGGCCTGGTAGATGGTAGTACAAAATAATTTCGAGTCGGTCATGCTATCAAACAAACAGCAGCCAAATGACTGAGTCTGTATCCTTTATCTGTGTGTTTAACCCCAGCTGCATTTGCAGATGAAACTTATCACAAACTACAGGTCTAAGACAATATTTTCTATATTAAACAATAAATTGTCAGAATATTTTTTTTAAAAAGCCAGTTAACCAGGTCTTGGAGGTGATGATGTCCTCATATCAGTTGTCCTGCTTAACCATCCCTAAGGCATTCAGTTAACAGTGATATAAAACTGAGAAAATGTCAGGAATTTTCACCCATTCATTTCAATGGGAAAGTGAGTTCAAAGGTTTGACGGGCTGTGGACATTGCACCCTGTGACATTGCAAGTGTCAACTAGGATGGTTCAGTGGTTAGGTCATGGTGGGGTAATGTTCTGGCTAAGAAGAGTGTGTCAGTCCATCAGCCAACCAGCTAGACAGCTATGCCATTTTGGCCCCTTTACATAGTCGAACCTTCCCTGGTGGTTAGTGGCTTTGAAAAATGTGTTCAGCCAAAGCTGTTGCTATAAACACGGCTGTAGCAACCAGCACAGCCTGAGTCACTTCTGGGTCAAACTAATTATTGTGTATTGTGGTGTACTGTATTCAAAGCAGGTTGTATCTTAGCAGCTGCACTAGCTGTTAGGATGCCACAGCGTGGGGTAAAAGTGCAGCGAAGGGCACGTTGGTTATGCACATAATGAGTCAGAAACAGTTGAGTTGGTTTAACTGCAGGGTACAAGGTAAAGAAAATGACCTAAGTAGATGTTGGTACATAATAAACTTTAAAACAATATTTATGTAGATATTATAATATTTACCAAAAATGACTCGGTGTAATCTGTTTGTGAGATGTTTGTCTCTGAAGTGTCCAAATACAAATCACTAATTTCATAGACTTATTCCAGATTAGTGGTAAAGAGCAAGGCAAAAATGATTCAGCTGCAGGTCCTATTTGTTGAAAACACACCTTTAAGACCGCAGCAACAGGGTATGTGGGTGAGGATGCTGTGCGGCAGGTAGGAATGCAGTGCAGGCAGGAGAGGTGCAGGCAGGCCAAAGCATTCCAGGCAGGGGAGCAGTAATCCTGTTAAGAACCCAGCTGTGTCTGACGTCAAACTCATCTAGCCACTAACTGGAGGTGAGCAGCTCTCATTAGGATGGGAGGAAAGGGGAAGAGAGTGAGACGTGCTGTCCAGAAGTGACGGCAAAGGCAACTAAGAAAAGAAATTAGCAGACTTTAAGCTCCCAAGTGTTATTTCTGTCCCACCTCATATGGGTTACTTTGAGGACGTGACACTTTGTGTCTTAATTTGCTTCATCATATCTTAGCTAAAAATTGCTGTGTTATTAAGCATAAGCAGCCTCCTTCTTTATAAAAAGTGGTTATCTGAAATATGAAAGGCTGTAAAACCCTCCTCTGTGATTTGTTCTTTTCAGACTGTGAGCACCTGATCCGCAGGATGTTGGTCCTGGACCCGTCGAAGCGTCTCTCTGTGGTCCAGATTAAGGAGCACAAGTGGATGGCTTTGGATGTTCCGGTACAGAGGCCCGTCCTGTACCAGCAGCCTCTGTCTGCTGAGGGTGAGGCAGGCGTGGGAGAATATAGCGAGCAGGTCCTTCGGTTGATGCACAGCCTCGGCATCGATCAACACAAGACTATAGAGGTGAGGAATGAGCCTGAGGGACGAGGTAGCTTTATTTATTAAGCAGGGTTATGAAGGGGTGAGATTTAAAGGTCAACGCTTCAGTCTGTGAAGAGCGTGGTGACACTGGGCAATGGATGTATATGCAGAAAACGGGGTTCTCAGTGCCCAGCAGTGTGATAAAACAACACACAAAAAGATTCAACTAGGATCGCAATATGTGAAATCATTTCATTATTCATGTGGAGCTGGGGTGGATGTAGTAATGTAGGGCACTGGGCAAACCAAGGCATGGGCCTTCCTTTGTGCCTTAAAAGTGCATTAGCTAAGATTTTACACATTGATCTGATGTATCAAGTGAAAATGAGACAGGACGTGGTGTCTCTCAGCTACACTAACCCCCCCTCCATGACAGTCTGCTGTTGTCTTGCACTGTCAGTCCTGCGCTGTCAAAGTACAGTCTGTACATTAGATCTACCTGCCACATACTGTAGGTCATAACAAGCACTTCTCTAACCACAAGTAGTCATTTCAAACAGCCATGCGATGGAGGAGCTCCAGGCAGCTAAAAATGCAAAACAGTGACCTCTAGTCCTAAGAGGTCGCATTCTTTTGCACAGAGAGAGTGGGACGAAGAGAGAGCAAAAACCAGGGTTAATATCAGTGTGGTTTTTTTAAGATGGAGAGTGTTAGACACAGCCCAAGGACTCGGTGTTTGAAGGCATTTTGTTCATTATTGTGAGGTATAAATAAAAGATAGAATAAGAGATTGATTTTGAATGCATAATGTTTGACATCAGACTATACTGATACCTGTTGTGGCCTCTAGTTATCGGGGGCTCGGACTGTTATCTACCTTTCCTAATGCTAAAGTCTGGCCCTGGCTAAAGTGAGGCTTGATTAATGTAGGGCACACTTCATTTCAAGTACACCTATTGTATATTTTAACCCTTAGGCCGTAATTTATCTGTACTCTATTCTATGTGCTGCCTTTTCTTTCACTACATTTTATTTGTTTTATTTAAACTCTATTCTGTTCTTCAGCTAGTGCTGTAACCCAGTTTCACACAGGGATAATTATTTATCTCAGTATAATTCAAGTGCTGCCACAGTTAACTCAACCAAAATGGAGGGTGTGCCTCGTTAATAACTTCAGTTACTGATGCTGCCATTTATGCCGTCCTCTAGTCTCTGCAGAACAAAAGCTATAACCACTTTGCTGCTATCTACTACCTGCTGGTGGAACGGCTCAAGGCGCATCGCTGCAGCTTCCCCGTCGAACAGAGGCTCGATGCCCGCCAACGACGGCCCAGCACCATTGCCGAACAGACTGTTGTCAAGGTAACAAAAGGGCGCCTGGGCGACGAGGTGGTTTTGAATAATGAGCACGGAGCTTCTCCGTGCCTCTGATCAACACGTGGTTACTCACACCTGCACCTAGGAACAAATGGACAGACAGTCATTAATCTCTCCAGCCAGGTTGTGTCTTCACTGGCTTTCTCACAGTGTTTTCCACCCAGCCTTGATCCTAATACAGTATGTCTCCCTCGGTTACCTTATTCATTATTTTCTTTTCTTTGCCAACTGTCTCTTCTTACCGACACTGCCCGGTTTCTCTTTCATTTCCCTAAACATTTCTTGTCTTGTTTGGATTAGGAAAGTCCGATTCCCTGCAGCTCAATTTTGTCATAATTGCATTAATTGTTAAGTATTGGCCATAAATTGGAGAAGTGTTTTTGTTGGAAGCTCTCACAGGCTCTGGTCTCTCCCTCTCTACAGTCAACCAGTGGTTCAGCCCAGGTGGGTTTGCTCCCACAGAGCGTTCGCCTGTTGCGCTCCCCAGCCGTGCCCCAAACCTCCTCTGATGCTTTCACCTTCCCCCAGACCGCATGTCCCCTGGAGCAGACTTTCATGCTGGAGGACGTCAACACGCCCAAAGTAGGTCCAGTACCAGTGAAAATAGCTTTTTTTTTTTTTTTTCTTTTTTGTCTCTCGCTCACATCCAGCCTGTTGGTTATGAATGTTATTACAGCCATTATCAGCTTGCACAAATATGTCCTGAAAAATGATCCTGATAGGCTTTGATAAGCATTCCCACTTGCTCTGAATTCAAAATGTTTGTGTACTGTATGCCTGTGTGTGCATGTCACACTCTGCCAGAGTTTCAAGCACCAGTTTGCTCCATAACTTGCTCTTTTATGTAAGCACTCAGCCAGCGCTCACATTAGACAGGACACCTGCTCATCCTACACAGCTCTAACACACACACACACACATACACACATGCGTGCACAGCGCTCTCTGTCTTTCTCTGTTTATCTGTGCCATCCAGCAACCTTCTTCCTCCAGGCCTGTTGTTGAGCTGGCCAGCTATTACAGGACACAGACACTAGTGACGTGAGTTGACGGCCTCATGCAGATGCAGAACTAAGCGTGCGCACACACACACACACACAGTATTTTTCCTCAAGATTTCTTTTCCAGCCTACCCCCTCTCCTGGCTCCAATAAAGACTAATGAGCACAGCATTTTATGTACGTTTGTGTCTGTGTGTGTGTTTACTTCTTACGTGCCACACTGTGAGGACCAGCTTGAGATTTATACTATCGTTGTGAAGACATTTTGGCTGGGCCTTACTTTCTCACACATTCCTCACAAAGATCACTGTACAAACATGTGTTTGTGTCTGTGGTAAGCAGAACAGCAGAGTGAGATACAGAGTGCGTGTTGTCTGCGTGAATGGAGCCTGGTTATGTAAGCAGTCCTGTGATGTGACCTAATGTGGAGCTGAGTGAACACACATGGACAGGAAGCTGCTCCAGCGATCTCGCCGCTGTGACTTCCTACCCATCAGCCAACAGCTCATCTTGTCTTTCTCAGCTTTTGACTTACTTTTTCTTTTCCGTGTGGCTTCTTCTCTAGCTGTTCTTTTTTCTCCTGTAATTTCTCTCTCTCCTTATGACCCCGACCCTTTTTTCATTGTCTATTTCTCAATGCCATTTCCACTCTTGTCAGTGACTACGTGTGTGTGTGTGTGTGTTGGTTGAGTAACAGCATTCCTATCCCAGCACACTAGAGAAAGCAGATGGGGAATTGGGCAAAGTTGCTCTTTCTAGACCAAGACCAGACTTTCCGGTTACTGTGGCAACTCATGCCGATGATCTTCATGTTTGTGTGTGTCAGTCACACAGCACTTTGAGCCGAAGCTTCCACTTCCTGGCCCTGCATTCCTTTATTCCCACCCTCCACCTCTACGTCAACACACAAAGGCCTACATGCTGTAACACACATACACAGTCCCACTAGGAGACCAACTGCGGTGAGTGAATGGGAAACAGGGAGGAGAGGAACAAATGGGGCTCTCATTCTCATTGCGGCAGTCACCGTCTTGTATGCAAGTGGTCTGGTGCAAATGATGCACTGATTCTGTGTATGTCAGGGTGTTTTAAGGTGCCTGATCAGACTAACAGCCTTCATTTTGATTGTCTCAGTGTCACGGTTCCTACACAGTTAATACTGTATGTATTAACTGTATTAAATGTCTTTCACCTCACCCCGTCTAGGTGAACGGCTGCCTGCTGGACCCCCTGCCTCCTCCCACTGTCCTCCGCAAGTCCTCCACTTCAACGCTTAGCAACATGATGGAGACTTCGATTGATGAGGGCATTGAGACTGAAGAGCCCGATACGGAGGATGATCCGCCCCACCTGCTCTCCGCCTTTCAGACGTCTCGGTTTGGCCAACGGCGACACACCCTCTCTGAAGTCACAAACCAGCCGGGGCCTTCGAACCAAGGTATGACATCATCTGATCAAACACAAACCATTAGGTCGCATGCATCGAATGCTAAAATGGAGCTTTTTTATCATTTCTTTGAAATTAAACAAACATTGTCCTCCAGGTAAATTATTCACTCTAGGCAACAACCCTTCCATGGGCAGCGTGGACTCAGACATCGGCTATGACATGGATTCCATGCACAGCGACCTTGGTCTGCTGGAGGACCTCCCCTCTCTCAACGAAGTAGTACCGACCAACAGCTCTGCACCCGGTGTCACCCCTACACCTTTCTTAAGTGCTCGACCTGCTAACCCAACAATGGCTGCCCTGACTTCCCAGCACAGGGAGACGCACAACCGCTCGCCTATCAGTTTCAGAGAAGGACGCCGTGCCTCCGACACCTCCCTCACACAAGGTCTCTGCTCCATATCCATTCATTCTCCTTTTTGGAGCCGCTCTTAAAGTACCCACTTCTGTATATTTTGTTTTTGTTGAAGCACCGAAACTTGGTGAACTCTGCAGAAACCCTGCATGCAATGCTAAATCGGTGCAGTGCTCCATTAAAGCCCTCGGCAGACTGTAATGCAGTGCAGTCACAAGACATTTGGACGTCTTTTATCATTACTGTACTGTCCCTGCTGCTGTATTCCCTACAAACGAGTGCACCGAGTTTCAGGCGTGCTCTCGAGACGTTCTGTCACGTATATAGAAAATCACAGTCTAAGGTGGCAGAAGACGAGACAGGTTGAGAGAATTCGGATGAAATCACAGTAAGGTTGTTTGTAAGTGTCAGTGAAACGCCAGGTCTGACATGTCTCCTTAAGCTCAGTCACCGCCCGCTGCCGAGGGTTTGATGTATATAGTGCGATAACGTTTTTCCATCTCTCCCTCCACTCTCTTCCCTTTTCTCATCCTCCCCAGTCCCTGTGACGACTACAAAGGTGATGATTCATGTAATGAATCACAGACAGATATTTGAAGACTTCAGCCCACATATCTCTCTTCCCCCTTCTCTCTCTGGGTCCCTCTCTTTTTCACTCAGTTTCCCTGCTTTTCTTTCTCTTTTCAAAGTGTCAATCTGTGACAGGAATTGTCTCTGCTTCACATTAGAACGAAAGAGGAGACAAAATATAAGAAGGAATGTTAAACAACCTCCACCCCCCTCCCTCTCCAGTTTTTCCTTTACAGATGCAGTATTCTAAGCCCTGCTAGTTGTAAATCACCTGTGCTTTAGCCAAGTAGGAACTATAAATATATCTTAAAAATGTGCGTTACTCCCCTAGCTCCACGCTGACAGCCTGCACTGTGCACTTCCAGTTGACATTTTGCAGTTATTTATTTTTCATAATCCTCTTTGGAGAGTGTTGATGCGGTGGATTCTTTTGCGTCAGACTGCTGACTCTGGTTTTAAATAACTCCCACCATCACAGTGAGTCAGATCCTATCGTTCACAGCTACAGCTCATCACCACTGGATGGGTCTTATCAGCGCTGCTTGCTGTTGCACGCACGCACACACACAGATACTGTCACATGTGCATATGCAAACACATGCCCACAGCAGCTCGTGACGCACATCCAGGCACAGTGTCAGTAGGGGTGATGAGAAGCGCTCACTGGTCAACCAGTGCGCTATCGTCACTGGAGAATAACCCTGACTTTGTGAAAGGATAAAGCCTTTGACATCCTGCTATGAAGAGAAAAGTGATTCTATTGATCAGCTGCAAGAATCAATACTGACTCTGTCTGTGGGGGATTCGTTTGTGCTCTCACAGGTCTGGTCGCATTTCGGCAGCATCTCCAGAATTTGGCGAGGACCAAAGGCATCCTGGAGCTGAACAAAGTCCAGATGCTGGTGGAGCAGATGGGCTCCGGGGAAGGGGCCGCCGTCAGCCCCCTGGGACCACAGCATCACTTGCACAACCTCCTGGAGGTTAGCCCTACAGCACAGTCACTCACACACACACTCACACAGCCTTCGCTGAAATCTAATCAAAGTCTTTCTCTTCTCAAACCCAGTCTCTGTCCCTCACCCAGTGTTGTCCAAAAAAAAAGTTTTAAAAATAAAACTGACACCTGGGCTGTTGTGTTACCCCAGGAGAGACAGCCAACTGTGGCTTGTCTGCTGTTTGCTGTGAGTCAGTCAGACTTAACCATAGTAGAGACTGGCACTCAATAGGCCTAAGCTACAGGCGCACACAACAAAATGATACACACACACAGATGCACTGCAGAGGGAACCAACTGAGGACAGATAAGTGGGCTTTCCTGTAAAAACAACAGCAATCGTTGGAGCAGACAAGATCGAGTTGTTTTCCTTTTGTCCATCTCATAATGCAATAACGCGGCTCTTTGTTGGTTATGATACTCGGGCCCCATCATCCATTTAATTTGCTTTCATTTTGCTTTGATCTCATTTAACTAATGTGTAATCCCTGTGGCACATGCCATTTAGAGAAAGGCATCTGGCTGATCAGTCACCACACGGGCATTTGGGCAGGAGACAGCAACGATAATCCAGTTAGACTACACGATGAAGCGCCCAGACCCTGACACGGCTTCATTAATTGGCAGGAGACCGGCTCTGGGACACGTGTGCAATTACATCAGCATAAGCATCCCTTCTTCTAATGGTTTATGTTTTTGGTTGAAGGGCGAGGCATCCAAGCAGCAGGCGGGCTTAGCTTTATACCAAGGTGGGCCGCAGCCACCTGTCCTGTCCCGCAGACAGAGTCTGGAGACACAGTACCTCACTCATAGGCTACAGGTACAGTTTAACACCAAGTGTACTCCCTCATTGTGGCAATGATCAACAGGTTTATTAAAGTTTAGGTGTCTTATCAAGCCATCGTGATATCATTTGGAAGGTTAAGGATTATCAGCCCTGTCATGATGCAACGGTAATAAAACACCTTGTAGCCAGTTACCTTGGTAATTATCCTGAACACATTCATCAGTCCCAATCTCTCCTCTGCCCAGAAGGCCAACGTCTTGGCTAACAGTCCTGCTAGCTGCCAGCTTTTCTGTAAGGAGACTCCTCGAAGTTTAGAGCAGCAGCTGCAGGAACACAGGTAAATCACACTGTCAGCGTCTTCTCCCCACATTTCATCTTTTATTATTTTTTCCATTTTATCATATTTTATTTTTATGTGTGCATTTAGCTGTCACTGCCTTTCACTGATGGAAGAGCAAAAAAAGCATTTAAGACGTTTGTCATGCTGCACGACACTGACAAGAACAGAAGTTGATTAAACACCCAGGAATGAAACGAGGTGTCAGAGCCCAGTTACGTTCTTAGTCCGGCCTGGTGATGTGGGCAGCGAATCTGTGTTCTGGGACCAGGATAACAATGTGCAAGACATGCCGGAAATGCTGTGACTGAATTTGGCATTTTAGATCCCCAGTTGCATTTTCATTTAGAATTTTGCCCACTAGTGTTTATGCAAACTATTTTACAAGCTTTGGTTTTTCCTGTGTTGAGTCAGAGTGTTGTCTTTCAGGCTCTGCTCCTCTCCCCACAGACTGAACCAGAAGAGGATGTACCTGCAGCAGCAGTCACAGGGCATGGGGCTGCAGGCCTACTTCAACCAGATGCAGATAGCTGAAGGCTCCTACCCAACAGGCAGCCCTGCTCTGGACCCAGCAGGGCCTCCGAGTTCCCCTCAGAGCACCCTCATGTCAGCCACCCACCAGCCTCAGCCCCAGCAGCAGGGCAGTCCTCAGGCCTCGCCTCCCTTCAGCCACCCCCATAGCTTGAGACCCCTGATGGAACCAGACAAGGGCTTGGTTTATGATCCCTACATGGGCCACCACCACTACACCCAACACCTGCCCCCTGGATCTCACCTCCACCACCAGCTTCACTGCCCCCCCCAGCCTCATGAAGCCTCTGCTGGCATCCTGGGCTTCAGCTACCCTGCAAGCTGTGAGCAGCAGGCCCTGGGGCCTTCCACTGAGGCTCTTCACCCAGAGCAATATGAGTTCCCCCTGGACCCCGTCCCGCTGCCCCCGCCTGCTCCCGAAGAGACTGAGGCTGTCGCTGTAGCCGGGGTTTTGGCTGACCCGATGCAGTCAGATGGCCTGAGCCTGCCTGAACTGCAGAGCTCCCTCCTGGACAGTGAGATGATGGAGACTGTGGACTCCCAGCATGGCTTCGTACTGGTCAACTAAAGCCAGCTGAGGGGCTTAAAAGAAAGCAGTATTAAGCAGCGAGAACCTACACAGCATTAAGAGCAGAGAAAATGGAGATACAAGTGGAGGCCACAAGCGTAGCAACAGGGAAGGAAACGTGTAAATTTTTGTACGACTAATACAAACTTTATTTCTTAGTTGTGACGAACCTCAGACAAGCTTTCTACCAGAATCCTCCTGTAGCCTACCTCCCTCTCTCCCTCTCCTCCTCTGTTCTCATCAGCTCCGTGCAGCAGGAGCAGGTCCGACATGTGGCACGACGTGGACTTCTTCATGCTGACTTGGCGAGGCTAGTTTTGTCACGGAGATTATGCCTGCGGGGACTGCGCCGTGCAGCGTGCGGGGAGGGGGGGCGGGCCACTGTGTCTCCCAGCAGCTGTCAAAGTGCAGCGCATCTCCTAGAAATGGTTTGAAAGTGAACATATATAGGACAGACTGACTGGCAACCAAAAGCACAACGGCTGGCAGGATTTAGTTTTTAAAACAGGACACCACTGACAACAATAGGCTGGTTCTTAGAATACTAGTGTTTTTTTATTTTTATTCAGTAGATTAAAAACAACTGAACAAGAGAAAATTGCCCTCATTTATCATGGTACCATGGATATCACCACAAATTCAAATGTTGTGTTATTTGTCCATTTTGTAAAATTATCTTTACACACTAATGTGAGGTTAGCATGATGATTGTGCATAGGTTTCAACACTAACGAATTCCTCTAAAACAACAACTCTTGATTGTCATTTGCCTAAACAAATACCCCAACAATGCTGATTAAAGCAACAGGTTGGTGAGCAATGCACCATTTGTTGGGTTTATACAACATTTATGCTTTTTAACAGCGATAAACGCTAAACTACAAGTTGACTAATGAAGATAATCAGTATAGCTGCAGGCTTTTGTGGAGGCTACGATACATAGATAATTAGTTTTACGTGTAACTACTGATGATTTATTTCTTACACTACTGAACTGCTGTTCCACCCTCACACTTACCAGGTTTCCTTGCACTTAATAGGAAGAGGATCATTTCCAGTTTCTACAGACAAAAAAATGGCCATGTGGTTTTTTGTTTTTTTTAACAGTTGAATTGTGGGTCATGTGTTTGCCTGATAAATGAGGGCTGATGTAAGTAACATGTGTTTGGTTGAGAAGTTGCAGTGTTAGTCAATATTCTTCTATTTTTGTGGCAATACTGAAGCAATATTCATCTTTAATGTTGAGGGATTATGACTCTAAGCCTCACCTGTACAGCCAGCTCTGATTGGTTCCTGGGGACGTCCGAGTTATTGGCAGTGACATCACTCGGAGCCGATGATGTAACCAGGAGACAATCTGTGCCTCGCTCTCCCTGGGAGTGCAGGGACAAGCCTGGAGACAGTTCTATGCGTACATTTGCGCGCACACGTGCAATTATGTTTGCACAAATCAGACTTCAAATTTTCTGCATCTATCACGTCATTTGTCGTTGTTACTGAAGAAGACCACCACTGTATTGACGTCTCCTTTAGATTTTTCAATCAGTGCACAGTTGTAGCTTTTCGATTAATTCTGGTTTACATCCTCAATGCTCCAGTCATGCCGCTGTTTTTTTTTTTTATGATGATGAATCATGTTTATAATAATGAAATGACCCCTTAAATATCCCCTTCATTCGATTTCATGAGAGAATGTTTCCTCTCTGACGTTGGGGCCGCTGTGAGATGAAGACCAGCAGCAGGTCATCAGTCACCTGACACTGGATTCTGACTGTCGGCTCACCACCACCGTTCGACTGACAGAAAGCCAGCAACAAGACGAGATTTCTTTTTTTGTTTTTGTTTTTTTGTAACATACTGTGTTCAATATACTTGAAGCACACAGATGTATCTTCTCTGACAGACTGGAATAGCACGACAGAGAACGTCAGAGGGTTGAGATGAGACGATTGGACTGTGATCATCTGCCAGACTGCGTGACCTTCAGTGGTCGTGGGTTAAAACTGTAGGAGTGTTTGTAGTCAGAACAGCTTTCAGGCAAAGGCTGTAAACCAGGCTCAACAGATATCTAGTTTGTTCAGACTCGAAGGTTTAACTAGGATTCTTTAAAAATGGCTAGAAAATACGGACCAACTGTGGTTGTGGTCCTGTGCAAGCTTTAAAGGAAAAATCCACCCTGAAATACTTTAAACACTGTTTCACACTTGGCGATGGGAGTATCTGCCAATTATTTTTATGATTGATACATTAGTTGTGTCAGATCATAGTAGAACTAATCTCACAGAATGTTGACAGCTGGCAGTTTTCTGTCACTTCTGTGTAAAAACTTTACACAAACGATATGCTGGTTATCAGATTTGTTGATGAGAATCTATTCCTGGTTAAAATGAGTCAATATGGCATCACATTCAGAGATTTCTGGCATTGAGAAGTCAGGTTTTCATGTCAGTTCCTCTGGATCTAGGAGCAAACGCTTAGCAGGACACCCTTTGCTCTGATCTTCTCGCTGTCACAGATGCTAATAAGTCCGGCAACAATAGTTTACTGCAGCCACATGAAATGCTGCAAAACTGGACTTGTGGCTGCATTAGTAGTTCCGCCCTAAAATTTGCAAACTAGTGGGGCAACTTGATGTTTATGTGCTGCTCATACACCCAACCTTTTATTGGCAGGAATTAGGTCATGCCCCGTTTGGAAATATTGGAAATATCCTGTGAGGCAGGTTCATAACATAACACAACAGTGTAAGAGTATGAAAGGGTGAATTTTACCTTTGACATGAGTATTTTGATTTTTTTTTTTTTTTTTTTTGGGCCACTGGTCAGGACAAACAGCTGCAGGATGATCTGTGGAAGCTGAATACTAGAGCACTTTGAAAACGAGGCGAAGAGATGTAGCGAGAGGAGGAGGCGACTGTGATGCAGGTGGGAGAGGTTTGCAGCGCTCTGCTGTTTCCCGGCAGATAAAATGAAATGCGATCTGGAGGAAACACCTTTCTCCTCTCTCCTCTCTCCTCCCCCACCAATAATGGACACAAACATTTATTTCAGAGACACAGTAACATTTAATCTTCTTGTTGGTTTGAATCCGAGAGAGCAACACTCTTCAGTTCACGATGAGTGTTCTCTGTACACATTAGGGATGTGGTGTGCACACTCAGGTTGCACCGAGGTGAATTTTGTGTTAAACGTGACTAGTGTAGTGTGCCTTTTACTTTGCGCGTTCTCAATCTCATGATTTTGAATAGCGCCATTGTTTCCGGTTGGACCCCTTAGTTTCTTCAGATTACTATTTTTACTTTTCCGCATTTTCTTTTCTGAAATTAAGTAAAGCCAGGTTTTACAAAGGTACAAAACCAAAGCCCCTCAGAAGTTTCCCTGTACAACCCACCATGTGGAGTTTTGGAGCTTCTTTGTCAGCTTCTCTACCGCGCTTTCTCTTGTTGGTCAATCAGTGTATGCCATTTAAAAGTATTATAGCAATATTTCTCTAGTTGAAGATTAAAGTCATGAAGATTCTAGTGGACGTGTTTTCCAAGTATCATATTTCACCTCCTGCTGATAAAACAGAGACATCAATCTATAGAAATCCAGTTTTATATTTACCTTCATTGATGTTGACCACACATAAGCTAACTTGCTGTTGAGATTAAAAAAAAAAAAGTTTACTGAACAGACTGACACTGTGGGTGTTTTCTTGTGTGTGTTGAGTCATAATCTGTCTGATAAATGAGTGGTTATTGAAACATGGCTACAGAGCTGACAATTAGTTTCTGTACCACACAGTCTGCCGTCTTCTCTACATAATGCAGTTGTCTTGAAAGTACAAGCTGCAGCCATCTGATCGCGCCCCAGGGCTGCACGGTGTAGGCGTGGGTTAATGACCTGGAAAAATGAATCACACCGAGTGCTTCATATAGACTGATGAGTCATAGCTGAACCTGAAATTATTTCAACCAAAACTAAAGCACCCGCGGAGTTGAGGCAGCAGGAGCTACAGGACTGTTTGTGTTGGATCATTTAAATAATTCTATTTTCGATTTCTAGACTTGGATCATATAACATTTTGTTCATTTTGGTTGATAGTCTTACAGTCGCAGTCAAAACAGTGTTATACACTGATCAGCCAGAGCATTATGACCACTGACAGTTGAAGGGACTAACACTGATTATCTTGTTACAGTGTGTTGGGTGAATTAGGCAGCAAGTGAACATTCAGTCCAGACTGGTCTGCAGTGGTTCGTACTGCACCTACCACAAGTCTCTAAGGAAAGACAAACAGTGAACCGGGGACAGGGTCATGGACGCCCAAGGGCTCACTGATGATGATTAAAGCTGCATTAACTAACTTCTCCTTCTAATTTTCTACAGTTAAGGGCAAAGTGAGAATCGAAACTAACTCTAACAGCTCCTCTTCTCCTCCTGTCCTGTCTGAAACTTAGGTCATATGTGGCGACAACAGGAGACAGTTGTAGCAGCAAAGCAATATTAACACAGACTAATAAAACCAGCAATTATAGCTTTTGGGGATTTCGTAAACTGACCCTTTAATTTTGCCTGTGAAATATTCACTTTCTATTCAAAATATGTGATGGTGTTAAAAACACGACACATTTCAGCACAACCAGACAACAAAGGTGCAATCCGCTCCTCTCAAGTAGAGCAAGCTGTGAGCCGCTGCAGCGTTTGTGTTAAGAGCAAGAACTGAATAATTCAGCACCGATGAGGACTGACCAGTGGCCGAGATCACTGATCTGAACCAGTCCATCTCCGTGGCAGTCACTGGTAATGTTAAACTACATGAAACTCAAACACCTTTTCTTAAAGTAAAGTGTGTCTTAAAGGGGCCTGTCCTGAGCTGAGCCCTGATTGGCTGACCTCAGCTGCATTTCTAAGGAGACTACAGGTTGTGGTCTGTAAATACATTTAGAGCAGAATATGCTAGAGGGACTGTCAGTGCTGTCTGTGTGAGAGCACAGGTTTGTTCCTCCGGTGTGGACAGGATCATGTAGAGACAGCACATCAATCCAGTGAGCCCACTCAGACAGAGAACAGCTAATCCCACTTAGTTAGATGAGGTGGGAGTGGGGGATGTCAATCTGTTCATGGAAACCAGGGTCTCACTTCTTTTCCTGGGACCAGCCCACACACTGAGCCAAACTGATAAGTCTTAAACATGGGGTCAGACTCAGACGAGCCTGTATAAAGCTCCCCCATGACACCGATTGCATTTTACATCTGTTGCCTTTGATGCAAAGTTCATTTGCCTCTGCACAAAAAAAAACAACAAACAAACAGCAAGGCTCTATGTGGGAGCCAAAGCACAAAAAGAGGGTTCACACACCCTAATTACGGAGATGTCTCTTTTAATTTTGCTCAAATGAGCACATATCAGCACGGGGGAAAAAAATGTCAGCAACCCACGAGCTTTGTTTGAAAAGTGCAAAATACTCCCTCCTCCTCCTCCTTCCTGCAGGACACCTCCTGCTCTGGTATGAGGAAAAAACAGCCAATAATACACAATTAAATGTGCCAAAGAATGTGGGAGCACTCATATGGAAGCTCAGTATACATGTTAAATGATGTTTACCCATTATTTGGCCCCACAGAGGGGGAGTGTCAGGCCATGCTAAATCTTCACAATAAGCAACACCATTTTCCAGACCTACTCTTTACACAAAGCATCCCTGAAGCCAGTCCTCACCCAAGCAATAAGCAGACATGTGGCCTGACACACAGCATCTGCATTATATTTGCTCGGGTTAAGCAGCTGCTGGCCCAACTGGCCTGTAGTGGCAGTCACCTCTGAGCACTGACACTGTTCTACCAAGACTGTCTCACAAAAGAAACCGTTAATTCCAGTGAGTCAGATATAATGTACATGCTATTGTGTGACCTCACAGTAAATTTCTCTGAGACGCTAGCATTTTCCACATAAATGCAGTTATTTATAGCATGCATTCAGTGCTGTTGTCTGCGACAGAGAGACCTCCAGCAGGCTGGCTGTCACACACACACACACACACACACACACGGGGGAAGAGACTGAGAAAAGAAAGCTGATAGAGGATGCACAGCTGTAATCATCTTCTTTTCAGTGAAATATCACAATATCGGAGGCCTATTCAGTCATCCGGCCAAAGTATACTGTAATGACATCAATGGTTGCCATGACAACAGGGGGAGGGTGGATGACAACACCCAACTGCGTCTTTTAGCGCAGGAGATCACAGCACTGTTCAGGATTTGAGCTGCGCACACACACACACACACACCAAAAGAAAAACAAAAAGAGCTCAGAGACAAATGTTCGGGGCACACTGAATGCAGAGGAAAACAATCTGCAAAAAGCAACACACACACACACACACATAAACTGGAAAACTGCAAAGCCCAGAGCAGATGCACAGGTTTTGTATAAGATGAGTCTGATGTAGCCTGAATGCTGTAGCTCTGCACGGCGTGCCAGTGGAACAAAGATGTTCTAATATCAAGTCTTCATTGAAGGTCAAATGCACGTGTCCCCCTCATTAATCAGCCTCGGTCCCCTGTTCCCCTGTCTCTGAACACATGCTGGCCAGCAGATGGACAGAGTCAGAAAGCCCAGCGCTGATGACCCAGTAGCAGCTCCTGCAGGCTCTGCAGCTGGGAGTCTGACACTCAGTGTCAGACACGTGCGGGCTCTGTGATACTGTATTATCTAAGAGTAGAAAGTTTGCACGATTTATGAACCTTTCCCCGCATCACTGACATGACGGAAAAAAGAGAGGAAGGTGGGAGCTGAATTGATAAGGTGGCTTTAAGGTAAACGAGGGGCAGCAATCCTCTCTTCTCTGACTGATGCTCGTCTTTTGTCGCCCCGAAAGCATCTGACCTCAGTGTGCGTGTGCGCCATGCAGCGTGGGGGCTTTGCTTGACTCCTTTCATTATGAATGACACAGTTCTGGGAGGCAGCTGCATTGACGTCAGGGCTCTCAGCGGCTCTGGCTGATGAAAATCCCCCCCCCCACGACATAACAGGATCTAAATAGAAAGAAATAGGTTGCCGCTGTTTCATTACTGCCTCATGAACTCAAGTGGATTTGGGGACGGATTAGCCCTCGACCTCAAGTAATCGGGATTTTCGGACGTAGAAAAAGAGAACTGCAGTTCACTGCCTGGCATGTTCCTCCTGTTTTGATCACTAGTTTAAAGAATAACTAATACACATGGTTTAGTTTTGATATCGGTCCCTAATGTTCCTTCAGTTCTCCTCCTACTTCACACCATTTCTTGAAAAGCACGTCCTGCCTTCAAGCTGCTATATTCTAAATAGCTCTCAAGGTGCTTTCAAAATGTGCTGACACACAGCAGCTCTGGCCATCCTGCACACTACAGTACATAATGTGCTCTGGTGAGGAGGTATACAGTCAAAGAACTGGGTGGAGGATTGGGAGGGTGCACAGCTCCAAGGAGGGCTGATGGGAGATTTGTGGAGATAAAAAAAAAAGATTCTCATAAAGACCACAGCCATTTGATTTGCTGCCCTAACGCTCACTTCATTGTTCTTTTGGAAGGAGCAAAAATGATGGTGCACCTAAGGCACCGCATGTAGCAGAAAAAGGTAGAGCAGTGTTAATACTGCTCGAAAACTACAAGCTTTCTCACTTGAGAAAGACAAATATTCTGTCAGCCCAGCCCTTATTTTGCAGCGCTCCTCTGCCCAGCGGCAGTCTGAAGCCAGGTGTCAGCTGCAGGCCCTGCCCTGTTCTGCTCTACATGGCCCCCTGTGGCCAAAACAGCCTGGAGGACTTTCATCTCCACTGCAGCTGCCTACCAGGTCACAAACTGACCAAGTATGAGCCTAGGAACATGAAATCAATCCCACATTTTCTGAGCTGCACATTTCGTACAAGTATTAACAACCCCTGGACGTCAGATTTTACATCACAAAGAATAGTCCTTTTATGATACTTAATGGTCCAGGAAGACCAAAAGCTTGCTTTTCTTGCTGCGCATCAAAGAAAAAAAAAAAAAAAAACCACGCCCAACATGAAGCCTTGGGGATGCTTCTCTGCAGCAGGCTCTGGAAGGCCTGTGAAGATCCAAGAAAAGAGAACAGACAGAAATCATCAAGGAAAACCTGCTGCAGGCTATGAGAGAAACTGCTACTGAGTAGATTTTTTTGCACTAAGGAAAATGAGCATGAAGACACAAATGGCTTCAAAACAATGTCCTAGAACAGCCAAAGCCGGACCTCAAGCCAATCTAGAAATTTTGGCAGAGCTTAACACCACACAGCTTGACAGACCTAAAGCAGGACATGAAACTGCACCGTCTAAATGTTCCAATAAGCTAAACACGTGTACCGGTGTCCACGTATTGATTTGAAAAAGGTGAATATTTTTGCAGTTTTACTTGTAAGATTCATGGTCAAACAACATAACAATGGAATGGAATGGAAATCCATCCAAGACATTACAGATGTGTTTTCCTGTTGCTAGTCAGCACATAGCCAATCTGCAATAACAGTGCTTGTGCTCAAGCAGAGGCGAGTTAAATAAGCGGGCTACACCGTTCCTTTGTGTTAACTTTATTCAGATCAAGATACAGTAGTACAGCATCCCAATTGTGGAGAGAATTCAAAATAAAAATAAAAGCACACTCTTTGTGATACAGGACAAGCAACAAACAAGGTTTACTCAGGAAAACAAAATGAGAAGGGAGGGGAGAGGGCAGGGGAACAGCCAAGTAGCTCAGGGAAAGACAAAAGTTTCTTTTATCAACACAGATGATACATTTATTCAACCCGCCCATTACCAGCCCAGCTCCCATCCCACAATAAAACAGCCTTGCGTATACACACTCCACGTCCCCCCCACTTCTTTTGAATACATGCACTTGTTCTCCATCATGCAGAGATTTGTAAGCAGAGATTCCTGGGTGGCCCTTGATGTTCTCTGACCTTATGCTTTAAATCTCATGTACAGTGGAGGGCTTGGCATGGATTTCAAGAACTGGGTGGCTCTGGGAGTGCCATGGTGCTGTTAATCCCACAGCACTGATAGCTGCAGTCAATTTAGTTTTATAATCCCATTAACGTCCAAGGAATAAAGTGTCCCTCACAGAAAAGAACAATGTTATCTCATCACAGAACAGGACAGGTGAAAATTGTTCACCCAAGCATAGAAAAAAAAACAAAACAACCCACAACCACTGCTTATTGAAGCCATTGGCACAAAGATTAAGAGCAATGCTGAGAAATATTGCAGAAACTCACAAGTGACTAATACCCCCCAACCTTCGCACATCAACAAAAACACTGAGGATCTGAAGGAGGGAAAATTATGAACACTTTACGACTCCCTCTTACTTTTGGCTGAGGTAATTTATTTGTTTGACCAACTCAACCTCTGTTGCTGCAGAGAATAACATCTGATTAATATGTGCAATCATTGAGAGTTCATGAGATTACATGCAGTAATGTACACCATTATTTTTTTGTTGCCGTCAGAACAATTGTATGAGTCATTCAGGAGACAACAGATTTGGTGTGTTGTGGAAAGAAAGCCTGTTAGACCTGCACGGACCTTTCAATAAGTTCTCCGTAGAGCCATGCCAGCATCTCCGGGAAGAGAGCTCTCTCTGGGCTGACTCGGGAAGGAAGCTCAGCTAAACAAACAGCTTGTTGCACCATCTGCTGCTCAAAGTTTGTGTCTAGCACTGGGAGAAACGTGCAGCAGCATGGCCCTACGTGCTAGGCAGTGAACATAAGACATGGTAGGCTCCAATGACCGTGGCTACAGTACAACAGTGGCTGAGGATGTGAGAGGGAGGAATGTGAGAGGGGCTCTGGTTAGCATTGCCTAACTAGTACAGCAGCACATTAGTCAGCATGCACCACTTAATGCAATATCATCACTCTTTATTGAAGCATCCATTTACAGCAAAGAGGAAGGTTAACAAAGAAGCCTGTGCTATGCCTGGACACCGACTACCATTGGACAGTAAAACCAAACTAAAAAAGAGAGAAAAGAACTAAGAGGATAAAACAATTGTTAACACATTTCTCTATACATGAACCAGTTGTTCCTGAACAGCAATAAATTATCTTGTAGAAGAGTTTGTGTTGTTGATTTGGGTGGTTGTCAGGGTTTGGCCACGTTGGGTTGGTTATGCTAGTGCCAGAACTGTGAACAGAGGAGAAAATGAGTGTAAGATTTTTAATTACACTGTTCCATGTCCAGTGCATGTCACAGAGGATTCATGTCATTTACAGTTTACATACAACAAAGACTAGGAAAAGCTTACCACTGATGGCCTCCTGGGCAAAGTACTTGACATCCATGTCTGAATCTGAGGCCAGCTTCTCCAGCACTGGCTTCACTTCTGTTTGAAGAGTACTTTGCAACAAAAAGAGGGAAACAATTACTAAACAAACTGGCAATGCTGCTTCTTAATTTTAGTGCAACAAACACACGGTTGATTTTTGTCACAGGAGAGAAAGCATTCGATGCTGAAATCTCAAAGACAACATACTTGCTGTCAAGTACAGGGCCGATCTTCTGAAGGGACTTGGCCACGTTGAAGCGGACATTGGCCACTTGGTCATTGGACATTTTGAGGACCACTGGTAGCATCTGTTTAGTGGTGATCTCCTGGCCACATGCCTCTGACAAAGCCTGGGACACAACACACGTGGTTACGTGGAGGACAACAGTGAACATTTACAGAGATTATTTTTTAAACATGACTAAAGTAAACAGACAAAGAGTACCAAAAACTTGTCACATTAACTCAAAGGAGCTAAACATCAGAGCAGGCTTATGAGAGATGATGCAGTTAACTCACATTGATGCAGAACAGAGTTGTCATCCTGTGGAGGTAATTTGGGTCATTGGCCATGCCCAGCACTTTGGGTACAATGGTGTTCTGAGCCCACTCAGCTCCAAACTTCTCCACCAGCTTCATTAGGTTACAGGTGGCCGCCTCACGGATGGCATACACTAGAAAATTACAGTGACAACACTGTGTGAGCAGCATGCTTGAGTTACTTTCTTTTGCCAGGTCTCCATGGTGGAGAGGAGGTGGGGTGGATCAGGTCCCATCTGTTTGGCAGCATCTGGATGTTGCTGAGAGTCCACACAGATTCGGTTCTTCATTTAGGTTGACATTCCGACTGTTATTTTGTAATCCCGATTGTTTATTTAGTAATAATACTGTTTTTCTGCACATAGCATTTATTTCTCAGTTGCTCTTCTTGAGATTTCTTCTCAATTTCTCTCCATTAAAGCTTTTTTTTGTTGTTGTTGTCATTGGGTAGAGTTTTCCTTAACTGAATCGAGGATGCAAGGACATGTCATAGGCTATACAGATCGTAAAGCCTCTGGAGGCAAGTGTGTGATTTGGGATATTAGGTTAAATAAAATTATTGATTTGTTCTAATTTGGTATACATGCACATGAAGTGCAAAGCAGGTTTGCATGTGTACATCACAAACTATACTCATATAATGGAAACATCTTGCAAAGATGATAAAAAGCTAAAATGTTCCAATTATACAAGTCAATGACTGCTGCCTAGAGCAGGTTATACAGTATGTGGGATTGTATCATAACATCAATACAGTATATATAAGAAAGGAGAAAACAAAAAACATTTCCAAGTATTGTAAATTATGGTAAAACACTAGTAATCATGGCATTTGTATGTCGTGAAATGGCCAAATCATACTTTACTTTCTGTATTAGAGAGAGGCGTGCAGATTTCTCTAGTCTTATCCTTTGGAGGGCTTATGTAAGCGTGGCACAGCCCTAAACCCAGCCAAACACACACACGTACAGAAACTCGCACTAGCAGCATTCCAATGATGCAACCAATTTGGGTCTTTGTCTTCAACAGCAAGCGTCTCTAATTGGAAAACTCAATATGAACAAGATGTGAACACTGCACACTCTGGGTGAAAAATGCATGCAAAAGACTGTCTGAGGTTATAAAGTGGAACAGGGTGTATGGGGGGGCTCTATGGGTACACTGCTCCTCCAGCATTTGAATCTGGGCAATTGTCTCACAGAGCGATCTGAAGTGCTGGTAGAGAGATAAGCCCACAGAGTGTCACAACTGTGAGTTTAGAATAACTACAGTCTAAGTTCACAGCATGAACTGCAGATTGTGGCCTACAAGAACTAGATTACAATAAGGAGGTTACAGAATACATACAGGACATATGACAGGGTACAACAAAGAGGTTTAACAACCTCAGGATGGCACAAATTCAGACTAGTGACAAGCTCTGATCACAATTTGCCTAAACCACTGCAGGTGTCTTTTCCATTGTTCTTTACCTACTCATATTTATAGTATACACACTGAATAGAGGAGTTTCTTTTTCTCAGCCTCATATTAGGAGGCAGAGCACTCCAGATTGCCACATCTCACCACCAGCCCCCAGCTTTCCCACTTCCACCCACTATTCTCATCAGTCTCTTCCTTTCTAGCCCAGGATCTCTTTGTTCTGGTAATAATACAGTATCAGAGAGATAAGAGAGACCTATCTACCAACTAGCTGGGATCAGATGACCAAGAGCAATGATGTTCTGAGGTATGTTAAACTAAAGCAGATAGAGCACTTTCCACTATACACATTTTGTAGCGGCAGCACATCACTCCAAAGTTATTGCTGCTGGGACTGCTTCAGAATTTTGTCACAATTGCAGGACTTTGCATAGGATTGTTCATTTGAAATGACGGCTACAGGAAGTAGAGACAAGTAGTGACACCTAGCTGAGGCAAGAGGCAAAGAGAGGAGGAGGAGGAGGGGGGAAGAAAGAAGAAAGAGGATGGTGGATTGAGGTAACTAACATTAAGTCAGACAAGGTTTTACAGTTTAACCCTAAAAACTCATAAGATGCAATTTGTACAAATTCATCGGAAATTACCACCCCATACTCTTGGTTCCATATATCACAAAGTAATGCTACTCATTGCCTCGTTGTGAATGACATGTCAAAATTAAAATAGCGACCAGCCCTTTTCAATGATGCTATTATAACTTGTTGGTCTATGCAACGAATACTTGTGCAGTAATCAGGTTTTAAAATAACAAAGTTTATACAAGTGACAGGCTATCTCATCAAATTATGGTAGACCTGGATATTCCTGCTTTGTGTTTTTTGTTTTACGTGCTGACATTAGGTCTGACCGTCGCTGCGGAGTACCATAGCTAAAAAAATTATCACAATTTGAAAATATGAAGATTTGGAGGGTTCTTCCCCAGGGAGATAGTTTGGGTGCTTTAGAGATTTTTGGGAGGTTAAGGTACTGAAAGAACATAAGGATAATATTTTGAAACAAATCTGTACTCACAAGATAAAAACATAACCACAATCAAGTGCTTACATAAGCATCTGTTTAAATAACCACTTGTAAATAAAAACAGGTTTTTGTGGATTAACACAGAAAGGGCACTTAATGAGGTCAATCTGTTCATGTCTAACATGGGTCCATATAAAAACTTGTGCCTTACCGTGGTCAATTAGCCAGGCCATACAAAGAGTGTTGAGCTTCTCGTCAAAGAATTCCACTCCCTAAAGAAACAAGGACAACATACTTAAGAGCGACTTCCTGGAGGCCCACAAAGTCTGTTTGTCTGCACACTGCTGAGATTTCTGGCTCTGCGGATGGTACTAATTAGAAACCTTTCAAACATATTTTTCATGGGTTTCAGCTGTAGTCCTAGAATACATGGCTCACCAGCTGTCCTGCTAACAGGGGCATGTACTCTATGATGGCAAGGCGGACCCTCCACTTGGCATCCTCGGCCAACTCCACAATGGCTGGCAGCAGTGACTGGGAGAGCTGACGGATGCCGATCACCTCGTTCACACAGTCTAGGTTGGAGATGATGTTGAGACGCACCTCGGGGCACTGTGACAGGAAAATAATCGACAAGATGAGCTAATGGCAAAACACCTTCATTAGTGCTGACTGTTCAGATAGACAAAATATTTAATTCAAAAGCAAATTTTATTTATATTGCACATTTAATAAGTTGTCCTGAAGTGCTTCCCAAGCATCTAATAAAAGCATACAAACTGAAACATCACAACCACAGAAATGAAAACACCAGAAACATACCAAGCATCAGAACAAGATACAAAACAAATTAAAACATCACGGCACAAGCAGAAAGATTTCTTTTAAAATCAAGAAAGGATGATACATTTATAATATTTCAAGGTAAAATGTTTAAGCTTTATACTGAACACCACCAGCAGTGTTTTTATTCTCTCCATTATGCACCTTCCTGGCTTTAGCCACTTTCAAAAACAGATTTCAAAGTAGTTTTGTCCATAAAAATGTAATCTAGGGCTATATCCAAGAGCTCTTAAATGAATGACATGTCTGCACAATGTACTGTATCCTGCTCCTTTTAAAACTGTCTCAGATAGATGCACCTTGAATTATTACATTTTCAAGTCAAAGCTGTCAGCTTGGACTATAATCTAATTAGACACTCTTGGTCTTGTTTTTGTGCTGTGAAGAAACTGGGCCATATTTAAATAGGCTTAAGAAAAGCTGTGAAAGAACAGACAGCATAAAGCTTTCCAAAAATGTATATACCTTTGTGACTAACCTAACCAAACTCGTGTCTGATCTCAGTATGCTAATTTATGTCACTGGATGTGACTGGGCTATTGTTTTTCTAAACAGATCTGTTTAGAACAACAGCGGATGAATGTACATTCATCAGTTGAAACCCAGCCCATTGTAATGCATGGGTGTAATGCCTACTGAAAACACTATGCTCTAGAATTTCCAAACCACTTGTATATAAATATATCAAAGTCTAATACTGACATTCACAAACATAAATGCAAAGTGGACTAATGAAAAGATGTATCCAGTTTTATTACAAAACTGTGTGTGTGTGTGTCATTACATGAGCAGACTCACCCATAGCCTTAATTTACCCATTTTGACCAGCATATATCCATCTACCTACATAACATCAAACCTATATACCTAGCCTGTACCCAGCTTTTCAATATGCTTCCCTCTAGACAGAGCTATTCAGTCATCTAATTGTAAGGTCTCACAACTGCATGAATCATCCTCCTACCCAGCCAGGTACATCTGGTGGCTAAATATATAGTCTTTTACTTATATAGTGCTTTTCTACACATTAAAAAAGCACTCAAAGCAAGGTTTTAACATTTGAACTAGAGAAGCTGGGAGATTGGACCGTGAACACTACGGTTAGGGGACAACCCAATCCGAAAGCGACTTTACTCTGACACGATCACTAAAGACCAAAGAACCTGATGAAACTCAGATGCTTCACAAGGAGCGTTTGTTGTGAATGGCATCAAACTAAGCTCTGGCTTAAATGTCTAATATAAAACAAACTGGGGCCCAGGATCACAAGTCTGTACTTCCTTTACCTCATCTTTGAGCTGAGCCAGGAAGAGAGGCAGCAAGTGCTCTATTGTGTTGTCCTTGCCCAGGATGGTTGAAAGGCCCATAATGACTGAGGCCAGGGCTGACTTCACATGCTGGTTGGTGTCTGAAACAAGTTCCTGGTTAGGGACAGGACACATAGGAGACAGAGATCAGCACATATACAAATAGTTAAGACAGAGAGCATGTAAACAACACGACTACTGCAATGGGTCATAAAACACACTAGAGAGGACGACTATAATCGACTTAAACACACAGCCAATTGGATTTAATACTGGTGCAGAGAACAAAGTCATTGCAGCTAACTACTGTAAGTAGAAATAATCAAATACGATGTAGACAGACCTGCATAATATAAACAAGGGGTGGACTTATGTTATATGCAAGTATCCAAAGTCTGAAGCATTTCTATTATTTTGTCCACCCCACATATAGCACTGAAGCTAGGCTAAAGAAGAGAAGCACCTTTCTGTATAATGCAGTGCAGTTCAACTTCAGTAAAAACAGCAGCCTCCAAAATTACCACACTGCTGAACAGCTCTAAAACTGAACAGAAGCTGCACATTACCACCTTTACAAAGAGAAGATGCACTGCAGGACTGTTGGGAAAGACCACACTAGTTCTAGCCTGGTGTACTTAAACTGCCAACTGACCGTATGTTCTTGAGTTATTACCATAGCAGAATGAACCTTTGAGACACTGATCTTTCACAAATAACAGTCTACAGATCCAGGAATGTCACTGCAGTGCTACCTGTACTGCCATTGGTGAATAAAAACACCAAGTGGCAGTGACATAAGAATTTTTAAACCAGTCAACCTGGCTTGTTGATCAAATAGCAACAGTGCCACCTGCTGTTCAAAACCTGACCAACACTGATACATGGATACATTCTCCACTGTTTTTTGTTACTATCCAATAAAACCCACTTAACATTCATTTGTGAATAGTTATAATAGTAGGTGTCTGTGGATATCTAAGGGCCTGCTACCTCTCTACAGGCTGTAGTCAGAACCTTCAGCATATGGAGGTGAATGCTGGCTATTTGAATGGTTTGTGGTTTACTATGAGCAAAAGCAGCACAGCAAACAGAGGGCATCACTAGAACAGTGGAAATCTTTGGATTACTGAAAATCCACCAGTGTGCCATCTCATCCAAGCATTTGTTAAAGAATTTTTATTTACAACTTAGTTTCTATCTTCATAACTTTAGCTAGTTTTAACATTTTTTTCCCCAACTACTGAGATCTGGGAAAAATATGAGGAACACAGAGTCCAGTAGGACAAGCAATATACGGCTTATAACCAAAGCCTCAGTTTTACCAACACTGGAGGAAAAAACACATAAGTGTGTGAAAATTCATCAAAACGTCATGGTGCAAATGTGCATTCAATTGTATAGAGCAGTTTTAGGTTGAACTCTGACCTACTTTTCTTATGTCAGGAGCTCACCATTTTTCTATGAAATTGACATTTGTGTAAGACAGGGTTACTGTACAAACGTTCAGTTTCATATCTATAGGAGTGATTCACATAATGCCTGTTAAGTCTAGGACTGTGTTGACAGACTGCAAATATGGCAATCAAAAAAATTTCATGTATATCAGACTCATCACCACACTGGAGATAGCAGCAAATGAGTTTAGAGATGCACCAGTTGATCGGTGGACATCAGAAATGGTCAGTTTTCAGCGCGATTGGCCTTGACCGGTGACTGGCCGATCACTCGAGATGTATCCATCCATGTCACCCATGTAGTGGTACACACCAAAAGCACAGCTTGTGCAGCGTGTAGTAGCATCTCGCGTGCACCTTGAGCGAGACTTGCACTTGTGTCTGTATAGCTGGTGACTGATCACTCACACACTGGAAGTGCTTTGTGAACAAAGAACGCACAGAGGAGGCCACAGAAAGACTGTGGAGAAGAGAACGCTCCAACAGATAGTACACAATGAGGGATTTACTGACTGCACATGAAATGCATGTATCTGTACAGTGTATCCCATGGTAAAACAACAAATACAAACTGCACACACTTCATAAACAAGTGTGTGCTCAGTAGTAACATTCTTTCTATTACCCGTTGCACCTGTTTATATTTGGAGAAGTACGAATATTAACTTCAATTTTAGTTGGAGGCTTGTAACAAAAAAAAAAAAAAAGATGGGAAAATGTTAAATTTTTATTATTTAATTTTTCATCACAGAGAAGGTACAAAAATATCTGTGTATGTTGTCAATTAAAGTTCTTAGATAAAAAATCGAAATCGTCCAAAATCGGGGTTGGCAAGTCGGTCTTAAATCAAATCTGAACCAGCCAAGAAAACTGCAATCAGCACATCTCAGAGTTGGCAAATAAGATACCAGTATCAAAAGGAAATCATGACCAACATCACATAGACTCAGGCTGTATAAAAAAAAAAAAAAGTAGAAGTCCTAACACCATGTCTGCATAAGAAAAATAACATCCTTTTCCACGTTTAAAAACTCTGCAAAGTGTTTCTATTTTCACCTGAGAAGCAAGTACCAGGGAAGTGTCACAATGTGAAAGAGCGAAGTTTATTTCTTACCTTTACACAGGGCAGAATGTGAGTCATGATGATTTGCTCACGATTGTCCTCCGGGAGGTTCTCACAGAATTCTAATAATGAAGAAGAGTACATGAAATAAATGAACAACCCGGAGAAGAGATTGAAACAGGCTGGTCAGGCTGCAAATTAAGGCTTTCATTAATAAATGTATACTGATTTACTGACCTTTAACTTTGTTGGCTGCAGCAGCACGGACCTCAGCTTCACAGTCCTTCAGAAGATTCTGGAAGGCAGGGACCAGATCATTCTTGGTGATCTCTGGCCCCACTGCTTTCTGGAGCTACAGTCAGAGAGAAACCAACACGTCTCAACAGCCACATAATCACATGGGAAAAACATCATTACAAAAACCACTATGGATTTAAGTGGCGAAACAAGAATATAAGTGGGTATGAAAGATGTACAGTATATAACATGTTACAAAATACACATGCTTTCAAAGGGTGTCCTAATTTTTTTCACGTTTAATATATGGTTATTTAATCTCAATTTTAACAATACAGAGAGATTAAAGTAATACAACTAAACAAGTAAAATTGAAGAAAAGTCTTTTCAAGATCTTCTGTAAATGTAACTCTACAAAAATGCCTATTCTAACTGAGGAAAAAGATAGCACACCCTAGCCCCTAATAGCTAGTGTTACCTCCTTTGGCTGAAATAACTGCAGTGAGATGGTTCTTGTAGCCATCTACCAGTCTCTGACATCGGTCTGAGGGAATTTTACCCCACTCCTCAATGCAGAATTGTTTCAGCTGTGAGATGTTTCTTGCATGTACAGCCCTTTTCAAGTCACCCCACAGGATCTCAATGGGATTCAGATCTGGACTTTGACTCTGCCATTCCAGGACTCTCCATTTCGGTTGATCTTTCTCTTAGAGAGCAAAGGTTTCCTCCTTGCACACCTCCCATACAAGTTAAACTTGTGCAGTCTCTTTCTGATTGTAGAGGCATGCACTTCTACATCAACAGTAGCCAGAGCCTGCTGTAGGTCTCGAGATGACATTTTAGGGTTTTTGGAGACCTCTTTTAGCATCTTGCGGTCTGCTCTTGGTGTGAACTTGCTGGGGCGACCAGACCTGGGCATGTTGGCAGTTGTTTTGAAAGCCCTCCACTTGTAGACTATCTTCCGGACAGTGGAATGGCTGATTTCAAAATCTTTTGAGATCTTTTTAAATCCTTTACCAGACTCATAGGCTGCTACAATGTTTTTTCTGAAGGCCTCTGACAGCTCTTTTGCTCTCACCATGGTGCTCACTCTCACTTCAACAGTCAGGAGCACACCAAACTAAATGTTTGAGGTTTAGATGGGGCAAGCCTCATTCAAAATGCTGAGTAACGATCTACTAATTATGTGCACCTGGTGTGATATACCTGTGTGTGATTTGAGCCATTTTAAGAGGGCATACATGTGAGGGTGTGCTAACTTTTTCCTCAGTTGGAATAGGCATTTTTGTAGAATTACATTTACAGAAGATCTTGAAAAGACTTTTCTTCAGTTTTACTTGTTTAGTTGTATTACTTTAATCTCTCTGTATTGTTAAATCCGCCATAGTTTATGTTGATGTCGCAGTCAATGTGACACTAGCAGTAGCTGACGCGGGCCGATGGCATCATCGTTTCATAAACATATGCGGATTATAACGTTGACACGAAAACGTTTTAGCTGGCGTTTTGAAACTCTCCACTTTGGGACCCGTTTTAAAAAGTCTCCATTTTCGCTACCCGGCTAACCTGTTTCCGTCTAAACGGAAGGCCAAAACGCCTACTAAAGTAAGCGTTTACAGTCAAGAGCGTTTCCATGTAAACGTACCCTAAAAGGGCATACATGTGAGGGTGTGCTATCTTTTTCCTCAGAATAGGCATTTTTGTAGAATTACATTTACAAAAGATCTTGAAAAGACTGTCAGTTTTAAATTGTATTACTTTAATCTTTCTGTATTGTTAAAATTGAGATTAAATAACCATATATTAAACATGTTACAAAATACACATGCTTTCAAAGGGTGTCCTAATTTTTTCATGACTGTAACTCTTGATGTCTAAAGTAACATCCAACATCTAATTCTCCACATAACATACATAAACAAATGCTTGAGGAGAATATGGGGATATTTTTAGATGTTGTCCCTACACCTAAACACACACTGAGCTAAAAACTCTTAATTTCATAAAACACCTGCACTGACAATACTTATCACCATAACACTGCACACATCCATTTCCTTTTACATGCATTTCAAATATTCCAAGAATTGTGAAAACAAAATAATGGGGGTAAAACAATTAGCGTCACATGTCTTTTCACAATGATGCTCATGTTATAAACCCAGCGCACCCCTTCAGTACCCTACAGTGCAAACATTTTTGCTGGCATCAAATAAAGTTAAACATATTACTCAAGTTGACAACACCTGAACACCTACGTTCAAAAAAAAAACCTCAGCGAATAAGTAGTATATAAAAACCCCTGCTAAAACAGCATAAACTTAGAAAGAAGCAATAAATTCAGTTTTGTTCTCAGTCCTTCATGCATCACCAGTTTGGATTAACTGTAGCAAGCTTGTTATGAACAAGCTATAACAAAAGATGATGCACGTAGCCTATGAGAGGAGGAGAAATATTATAGATGTGGCTATGTCATTGTGAGCACCGCAGACTGATTGATTCTCTAGTTTATGACAGGCAGTATTGTGAACCTGAAGCAGCAAAGTTTTATTTGTAAAATAAATGTAATCAGTAATTTCCTCTGAACTGTCAATCACAATTAGGTAGATGAATACCTAATATGTTCTTAAGTTGACTTGCAAAGTAAAAAACACGACAGTTTTTTGAAGTTCAATAATTGCATGTTTCCAAATATAAATAAAATAACTGATCTCAATATTGACAAAAATAATCATGACTGACTTTGCCATAGTGGTGGTGCTCTACTTTCTTGCTCTATGATATTGTTAAAGCAGCAAAGAATTTTTTACAAAATGTGAAGCTGCAATCTTACTTTAACAAACATGCACAGCAACAAAACCACAAAATATTAAAAAAAAACTAAAGAACAAAAATGTAAGTGTGGCATTTCCCACAGAATCACTTTAAACTCGTACTTGCTAATTAGCCGGACTCTGGCTCAAGCGCCTTGACTTAAAATGGGGAAAGACTTCTTAGGCAGTATTCAAGAATTATTAGGCATTATTTAAGAACGCCTTGTCCATTTATATTATTATACTAGACCTAAAGGTCACAAAGACACCTGTACTACTAAATTCCACATTCATGTCTTTAAAAGGATGGTGGATGAGATTACAAACAGGTTTGACTAAAACAGCTGTATATTGCCCAGCAATTTCTGATTTGTATTACACATACACACCAAGTTTAGTAAAAAGTGCCAACATATTCAAATATGATTCCCTCTCTGACCTGGACCACATATGCACCCTTGAGATTATGAACATTAACACTTATGAACATTATGAACAAGCATTAACACTTGTTTACAATGTGTACACATTAATGATGTAGGGGTTAAATGGTTCTTAGGGGCTGGACAACTTTGAGGCAGCTTTAAATAGGAGTCAATTCTAAACTCCCAAATTTTCCACAATTACACATTTAATGAGGATGATGTGAACAATAAAATAAAAGGAAAACATACCTGGTCATGTTTTAAAGGACTGTGCCGAGGAGCTCAAGGACGTCCTCACGGACATCTTTAATATCTCCCTGATCCAAGCATTTGTTCCCACGTGTTTCAAGGCTACCATAATAATTCCAATTCCAAAGAAGCCCCACCCAACCAGTTACAATGACCATCGGTCTGTAGCACCGACTTCAATTATTATGAAGTGCTTCGAGCAGCTGGTCATGCAGAACATCTGGTCATCCTTCTTCCCTCTCATAACCCATTTCAGTTTGCCTACAGGTCAAACTCCTGATCCACAGAGGATGCCATTACTGCTATTCTCCATCCAGCCCTCACCCACCTAGATTCAAAGAACTCTTACGTGTGAATGCTGTTCCTAGACTTCAATTCAGCATTCAACACAATAATTCCCCAGCAGTTTACACAAAAACTTGGACACTTGGGACTCAAAACCTCTCTCTGCAACTGGGTGCTGGACTTTCTAACAGGGAGGCCACAAAATGTGCAGGTCAGCAGCAACATCTCTAAGACCATCACGCTGATCACAGGGGCTCTACAGGGGTGTGTGCTCAGCCCATTGCTCTTCACACTGCTCACCCACGACTGTGTGCCAACCTACAGCACCAACCACACTGTCAGGTTTGCGGATGACACAACTGTAATGGCCTCATTACCAACAATAGGAGTGAGGTGTGCCAACTGGAACAGTGGTGTAAGAACAACAACCTCTTCCTCAATGTGGGGAAGACTAAAGAGATCATTGTGGACTTCAGGAGAAAACCTCTAAAGCACCCCCACTGACCATCAACACTGCTGTAGTAGAGAGTGAGCAGCACCAAGTTCCTGGGGGTGCACATCTCTGAGGACCTCTCCTGGACCAACAACACCGGCCAAGAAAGCTCAAACACGCCTCTACTTCCTCCGCAAACTGAGGAGAGCCAGTGCCCCACCCCCCCATCATGTGCTCCTTCTACCGGGGCACCATTGAGAGAGTCATCATTGGCTGCATCACTGTGTGGTACAGAGCCTGTACTGTCTCCTGCAGAATGGCCCTGCAACGCATAGGGAAAACAACCAGCAAGATCATCGGTGCCCCTCTGCCTTCCCTTACGGACATCTTCAACACCTGCCTCACCCGCAGAGCCATCAGTATTGCTGATGACACCTCTCACCCTGCACACTCCCACTTCAGACCCCTGCCCTCAGGGAGAAGGTATCGGACTCTTCAGGCCCACTCCACCAGACTTACAAACAGCTTCATTCACCAGACTCTGAGGATGCTGAACACTGTTCACTACCTCCCCCCCTCTGGCCCTGGACCGTAACCCAACACAGAACATAAAGATATAGAAAGACTACCCCTGCTGTTGCACAAACTCAATACATTCCCCCTTTTCGTTATATTACAGGTAAATCTGCTGCTGACTGTTGTGTAAACAAAACAAACAAACAAAAAACTACCTCTGTTGTTTTACCATATGTAAATGGGGGGTGGGGGTGGGGGGATATCTGCTGCTGTTGGTCATTTGCAATACTGTCCATGTATACCTCATATGCTATTTGCACCTCATCACCAACGCCCTGGTGATGCTGAACCATCTGACAATCTCCTATTTTTGTTTGCAATACTGTCACTGACTGTACACGGTTTTGAGTCACAGCTTATTGGCTGTACCGTTTGGATTTATCCTAATTACATCAATCCAGTTCTTATTCTATTTTTTTAATTCTTCTTTACTCTAGTTTAGTTCCTAAATGTTATGGCACCCAATGCTAGGTGAAAACGGTATTTCGATTTTCTGTATGTCCTGCACATAGTGAATTGACAATAAAATCCTTGAACCTTAAAAGAAGTGGGCTGCTTACCTCCGAGAACTTGTCGGCCACCATGTAGCGGACCCTCCAGGACTTGTCCTCTGCTGCTTGGCGCAGGGTTGGCATCACCAGGGTCTCCAGGTCCTCCTGAGGCAGCAGGGTGGCAATACTGACACATGCCTCCACTGCAAGCAGCCGCACTGAGTCCTGATGCAGAAAGGTGACAAGATCAGTTTGGAGATCACTAAGTCTGAGAGTCCAATGGACTAAGGAAAGACAGGAGAACAGAGTACAACAGCAATTTAGGTTGAAATGAAGGAAATGGTTATACCTGTTCGTCAGACGCCAGAGCAGTGAAGAGAGAAATTATATCACTTTTTACATAATCCAGCTCCAGGACTTTGGCAAACTCCCCGAGTTTAGATGCTGCAGCACGGCGCACCATAGGAGTGTCATCTGAACACAAGGTGCGAAAATGCCTAGAAATACCCACAAACAGATATTTTATCACAAACACAAAACTAACTGCAAAAGAAATCGGGTTAGAAGAAACAGAAGTAAAAACAGTTTTCTTTTATTAAAAATTTACTTACTGTCGGATCTCAGCCTTGACAGTGCTGGAGACACGGGGATAACAGACACTAAAGAGGCCACAGGCAGATGTGCGAGAAGTGAACCAGTCACCACTGGCCAACCGTTTGACCAAAGGCTCAAAATGGACCTCCAGGTCAACTGGAGAATGCTCCTGAGATATCTTCCGCAGGGACTCCACAGCTTTGTCTCTGACTACTGTCTCTTCCACTGTAGCTAAGCTTTCCAGTGGAGGCTGTGTATGAATAAGGGATGAGATTAGACAGGGTTAAGGTTCTTTGACTACTCGCACATACAAGTCATCATGAACACCTTTGTATTTTTGATATATCAGAGCTATGTAAAAGGATAACAAAACTAAGTCAAATACATCAATTTCTTTCATTCTTCATTTTTAATGTTACATTATTTTGAGCTTATCCAATCCAAAGGTAAGAATTAGGTTTTATGTTGGGAGAAAATCCTTAGTAATGCCTATAAAATCCTAGAGGGCAAGCATTTTACAGTTCACTTGGATAAAAAGTCAGGCCTTTGGATGAAAAGTCAAGCTTTAATGATAATTTTTTTTATTCGGCAAATACAAAAAAAAAAAAGCACATTCATGAAGAAATTCATAAAAATCATCATTATCAGGCAACAGCTATTATTAAAACAAAAATACATAAATACCAAGAGCTGTATTTTGTGGTGACACCATGGACTTGTAATTTTTCCCCATTTCTCTTTAAAAGCAGGGGAAATTTTGTTCCCTAATGAGCTTTTTACATCAACTCTCCAAAGCCTTGGATGCCCCTAAACTTACCAGGAGACAGTGGACATACTCAGGACCTCCCACCAACATAGTGAAATTGCCAAGCTGCTCTGCCAAGGCCAAAAGCACCTCATCCTCATCATAGATAGTGTCTAGGGGAAGACAAAGACTTGTGAAACACCACTAAGAAAAGCCGCAACACGTTTTTTTCCCGGATAAGAAGACTGACATCATTACCTGTGAGGAAAGGAAGGAGTTCAGTGCGAGTCCTCTCTACTCCAAGGGCCAGAGCAATAGTGGACAATTTCTTGATGCTGTTCAGCCGTAACTGAACACAAAACGGACATTTGTTAGGGAAGCGTTCACAATAAAGTTTAAGTACTCCTGTGGTAATGAAATCAATATGCCTCACCTCACCATACCCTGCTAAACCAGGAATTTACTAGAAGAATATTTCTATCACTAGCGTTACCTATACTGCGGGCAGCCTCTTCGTCAGTCAGCCTTAGCTAGCGTTTCAAATGCTAACTAGCTAAACCAACGCTAACGTTAGTTAGCCGAATCGAAATGCTAGGAACAAACCGGCTAACAACCGGCTCTACCCACTGCGGTCTTGAACACCGTGCTGTTGTGATAGCTAACGTTAACTAGCTAACGCCAGTCATTTAACCTTAGCTAACCAGCATACTGCTGACTAGTGGGATGCGTTAACGCTAGCGGCCAATTACCTGTTTGGCTAACGCTTGCCGTTTCGTTCAGCAATTCATTGTACAATTCGCATTATATTTTAGGTGATATAAGCATCGATAAACCAAAACTGTATTAAGCGTTACTCCGGATCCGCAATTTAGGTTGTTATCCCTGACAACAAACCGCGCACACTGGCAAGGGGTGCGCCCGGCAGAAAATTCCTGATAGGCCTTGGCCAAGAACGTTAGCTAGCATATTTGCCAGGTAGTTACCTAGCTAGTAATCAGATGCCCCATTAAAGAATACGTCAAAATAATTTTACATTCCCAGACAATATAAATTACGATTAAAGTTGAAACTAGTGTTACTACCTGAACATCCTCATTTCGCAGTTCATCAATGAGAACCGCAATAGGGTAAAGAGAATCGTCTCCATCAGCTCCTGCCATTTTGGATACTGTTGCAGTTACCGAATGGCGCTGCTGTGCGGCACTACGGGGTTTCTGCCAGAGAACAGCGACTGCAGGGCCCTCCCTCCTCCGCCGGTGCTGCTTTCACGAAACCACCGGAAACCTCCCATGACCAGCCTTGGGTCATACACCATTACAATCAAATAAAACACCGTGAGATTTTGAATTAGGGAAAAGAAAATTACTTAAACAATCATGAATTCAATTGAAATGTGTGCTTTACACATGGGCAGGTTAAGAGGAACTGGGCTCCAGGGCACAGAGACTCAATGCCCACCCTCATCCCCGGCTATATGCAGTGGCGGTTCTACATTGAATTACTCCCCGGGCGAGACCCCCCTCTGAGCATATGAACATATGATAGATAATAGAAAACCGCTTAGCAGCGCAGATTATTTTCTTTCCAAGTGCTTGTGCCATGTCATGAAAAAACCATGCCCCGGGCGGCTCCCCGGTTCGCCAAGCCAAAAACGCCACTGCCCAGCGGCAAGAATAGTAGAGAAATACAAACTGTCTACTTTTTAACAGCAAAACAAGACTTCTTCAAAGTGGTTAAGGTGAAAATTGAGTTTCACTCTGAGTTCAGGGAAAGGGAAAGTCATGTTTTCACCTAACCTGCAGGTTTTAAAATGGTTTAGAATGTTACTACGGTGGCCTGTCACATTTGACTGATAGATTGCCATTTTGAATGTAAACATGCAGAAAGTTGAACTCTGCAGCATTCAAAGCTGTGACGTCATCAGCGACATGGCTTTGATCTTTGTGACGCCACCAAGTCTCGCGCAGCAGCTCACCTAATAACTGCAGCTTAACAGGCAATCACACAACTTCTGAACTTCAATAGAGACACCACGCTGGTGAGCAAGAGAGATTAACTCGACAAACAAACGTTAAACAACATCTATTCAGTGAAATACTTCGTATTCACGTAAAAAGTGATTCTTCCAGTAAAAAAATGGCAAGTTCTAGCGACAGACCCCAAAGCTGTAGAAACAACGGACAGACAGCTCCCAGGAACAAGAACATGAACTGCGAAGCCCTTCATGAGGAAATCAGGAGGCTCCAGGGGATGCTGAGCAGGGGCAGAGAGAGTTTTAGCTACGAACAGAACTGGAGGATCCAACTTAGCCAAGAGCTAAGTGAGACAAAGGAACAGCTAGCTTACCAGAAAGCCAAGACTGAATCCTTTATCAACAAGGAGAAAGAAACTAGAAAGGAGCTTGAGAGGCTGAGGCAGTACAGTGACGCTGAAGCTCTCAGCGCCTCAAACATTGCCACTCAGGTGGGCAATGACATCAAGAGAAAGAAGAAGAAAGATCTTCAGAGAGATTACGAGGAGCTGAAAGTGGCATACGCCATATGCCAGGACACGTTTATGGGTGAGCTCAATACGGAGAGGAGCAAGATCAGTAGTCTCCAAGAAGAACTGGAGAAGCTCAGAGCTTCACACCATGAGCTGAAAAATGAAAAGGATGCCCTCGCTCTCAAGCAGCAGGTGGAAAGTCTTCACAGTGAGCATGAGACGGAAAACAAGTCTCACTGCGACACGGTGGAGCATGACCTCCACCTGATCGACACCATGAAGGCGGAGAAAGACGCTCTAAAGGTGGAGAAAGCCACTCTAAAGGCGAAGAAAGACGCCCTGAAGGCGGAGAAAGACGCTCTAAAGGTGGAGAAAGCCACTCTAAAGGCGGAGAAAGACGCCCTGAAGGTGGAGAAAGACACTCTGAAGGTGGAGAAAGATGCTCTAAAGGCAGAGAAAGACACCCTGAAGGCAGAGAAAGACACTCTAAAGGTGGAGAAAGCAACCCTTCAGCGTGAGCTAGAGACTGAAAAACTCACTCATGCAGAAAGGGTGGGGCAAGATCTCCAGCTGATCAACACCCTAAAATTGGAGAAAGACACCCTGAAGGTGGAGAAAGACGCTCTAAAGGTGGAGAAAGACACCCTTCAGCATGAACTAGAGACTGAAAAGGTCACTCATGCAGAAAGGGTGGGGCATGATCTCCAGCTGATCAACACCCTGAAGGTGGAGAAAGACGCCCTTCAGCGTGAGCTAGAGACTGAAAAGCTGGCTCATGCGGACAGGGTGGAGCAAGATCTCAGCCAGATCGAGACTTTAAGGACTGAGATAGACAGCCTTAGTCAAAAGATGGCAGAGGAGATGATGAGCATTCAGAAGGAAGCTGATCACAAGGTCATGGCCTATGAGGGACTGCTGGAGACACTGGGAAACATGCTAGAGAAGCAGTTCTCACTCAATAACCAGCTCTTAGTTAAGCCCAATG